AAACTTTGTATACGCTGCCTATTAATGGATATTCCCTTATCGTTTTAATACAAATTTCGTATGTTTTGCATATAAGAGAACATTGAAATCCTTGACTCCGAAATCTACTAATTTTAATAAAGAAAACTTTAAAATCGAGCTTTACAGATCAAACAAGGGTTTGATCGCTCAGGAGATGCTTCTTATTCATGTAACGCGCTGGCGGTCGGAAAGTATGGAAGAGAGAGGAAGAGATAAGGAAACGGCCGCAGCCTGATGTATGTATTCTCTCTCGGTAAGTGTTATGCCTATAATTACTAAACACTGATTACAGCTATGCCCGAAGTAGATGCTACGGCATTGAGATGTGAACTTGCGAACACAGACTCGATTCTCTGGATGAACAAATTGTGGACAAAATCGCAACCTGATTTAGCTGAATCTCAAGCATTCTAGACCAATTTTTTCTCTTTTAAACAAATCGCTGTTTCATATCAAAACTCCATCCAGAATATATGTATTCTTAAAAGGGAAGCCTGGAGCCTAAACTTGATGATCAAAATTAAGTTTTGGAACCAAAGTAGCCTATGTAGATGGATATGTTCCAATCACTTTCGCTCTTCACCCTGGCTAAGTATACGTTCGTAAATCTTATAAAATGCGGCATATTTCCGTCGCGAAATTTATAACAGGAAACTTACATCGTCGACAATATTTTTGTACCTAGAATTACAATAGAATTCGGCTAAAAAAATCTTGACTTTTTCAAATGCCCTTAACAAGAAGAGATAGTAGAGTTCGCAAAGATATAGCAAAAAATATTGAGCTGATTAAAATCAGTAGCTTTTTTTAAATATTTTTTGACTGAGGTTTCCCGATTTTCGCTACGTACTCATGCATAAACGCTTGTATAAACATGAATGCATCGCAGTCCATCTATCTTGCACTCGGACACTAGCCTAAAATGTTGGATGAGAAGATCGTTTAACTCTAATGCATGTAGGTCGGTTGCATATGGTAAATAACTTTATCATCACCGTATAATAAGTTTATTCGCTTGATCTAATTTCGTTTAGAGAAAGCATGTGCTCTTTGTGGTCGAGAGAGTGTGTGCTTTGATTATTTTCTTATTTAATATTTACGTTGATGTTGGTAACTCTTTGTAAAATGTGCCAAAAATCGACCAAAAGTATAAATGCTTTTATGAAAATGTTTGTTGGCTTGTGACTATATGTTTGACTGTCGTATTTACCTCGTGTTATAGTGGTATTATTATAGACGCACAAACATGATTGCATGCATGCATGCATGCATACGTAGACTAGACAGCGAAACAGACAACAAGCAATAAATGCATGAAGAAAAAAAAACACATATATGCGTTTGCAAAAGCAGAAAAACCAACCAACAAAAAGAAGCAACAACACTGCCAAATGAAGAGGAAAGAAAAACACACATATACAAATACAAATGATAACAAAAACAACAGCAACTACTCGTACACAAAGTCAGGAAAAACGTGCCGTTGGTTGCGGTTTAATAAGCAACTCGTCAATTTGTTGTTGTTGCTGGTGTTGCTGTTGTTAAACAGCAAGCAAAATTGTATTTTCCAAACGAACACGAAAAAAATTTTCTTTTTTAGTTTTCTAAACCCGTTCACCGCTATTTCCTTTTATAACGTCTGCGAACACATCATTTTATAATAATGAGAAGAGAGTAAGAGTATACGAATGAAAAAACAACTTATAATGTTGCCATTGTTGTTGTTGTTATTATTATTATTATTGCTGTTCTTATATGACGATTGCATTAGACTCTCTTTTAATTTCCGCTTAAAATGTGAATGTCGAATGTTCTCTAAATACATATTAAATACATAAGTATAACATTTCTTTCTGCTTCTGCTTCTTCTTCTTCTACATTTTGGTTTTTTATTTGCTGTCAGTGTTTGTTTAAAGGGAGAGGTGGTAGATAGGTATATAAGTGGGTAGATAGATTGGGTATTGTGTTGTTAGACGCGAAACATGATTTTAACATTTATATCATTTTTATAACAATTGCCATTTTATGGGATCATTCCATCTCCTCATTTCGCTAACCTCTTTCAAACGTAGCCTTTGCATCACATGAAACCAGACTGAAATATTTTAGAAGTGCTCAAGTTTTTTTTTTTCTTGTTTTTTTGCTTTCGCTTTATTGTAATTATTGTTGGCTTACGTTTCTTGTTGAATTTTTTAGTTCATCATTAAAATTTTGTATGCGATTTCATTTTGTGTGGATGTATGTGTGGTTGCGTGTATCTGGACGGTATGAATGTACAGACAACCGTAGAAAAATTTGTTCAAATGTTTTGTACAAGAAAAAAAAGAAAAAAAAAGACAAAAACTCTTTGTAGCAAAGCGAATATCATAATTATTGTGCAGGCGCAGGTAAGGAAGAACTATAAATAGAGTTGCCAGGCACATTTTACGTAAATAAGATTTGTTTATGTGGATAAGAAATTCTTCTTACGATTTTTTGTCATATCATACGCGCTATCAGTGAACTTCACTTAAATCAAACGTGCCACGCAAAAACCCTTTGCTCGAAAACTTTTCAAATGCGCTGCATACGAGTCTGATCATTCTATACCCATTATGTCCTGCAAATTTCAAAGCAACCTGTTAAGTAATTTGAAATGCATTAAATTGTAATTTACGCCCTTATTTCTTAGAGCAGGAGATTGACTTTCATCCCTGCAACAAATATTTAATTAATTTTAATTTCAATAATTACCTATTAACATACACGTAAAGCGAACGGAATAATTCTTAAACTTGAAAGGGTCTTTAACAATCGCATCCTGACGTTGTGATCGGCTACTGGTCATAAGTATTTTCCGGTTATATTTTTGTGACATTTTATCAAATTTCGTATTCCGGAAGTACAATTTTATTACAAAAACGAAAATGTTTGTAACCGTTTTGTGATGTCTCTGCCATGTTGTTCGGATTGCATTATAATTTAAACGAGTCTTTGGAGAGCTACGCGACCATATTTACGCACACTACTCATATCTATATCGATCAAAGTTAGAGTACAATTCACGTGAATAGGTGACAGCTTCCAGAACTTGGCTAAAGGACCTCATAACGTTCATATCCATTGCTTCAGGTTCAAACCGAAATGGCTTGTCGATTGTCAGCGTCAGTCAATTCTCCGATTGAGACTAATTTTTTGCGAACCTTCCGGATATATTTCCAAATTTCCACTATAGACTCCCTAGACAAGTTAACAAATAATGCAGTATATGATTTTTTCATGCAATTTCTTATACGTGAAAACACGGTTTAAATCTTGAGTGTTTTTATAAAGTTTTGTTTAATTAAGCGAAAAGGTAGACTAACTACGATTCGCCGAATAAAATTTAATGATCATTAATAAAAAACAAGTTGCGAATTCACTGTCCGTTTGTAGGCTGACAACAGAAAGAATTTTTTCTCGAGCTTTGAAGCGAACACAATCGAATTACGAAGAAAGAGGTTAGGAATAAATGTTTTTTTGTCATCTTATTTCAAGAGAGAGAACAGAATTTTGGAATTGATTTTACAATACACCTCGCTCAGGAATACATCAGTTGTATGGATAATCGTTTGGACCCGTTTTTTAGACTCAACTTTCTAAAAGCGCGCGAAATTATGTCCATTAATTGAAAGCTGACATTTTTGCGAGCTTTCTAAGACAATACCTCTGAAGATACTGACGCTGAAACGATTTATATAAAAGTTAATTATATTTTGAATGTGGAAACTTTTATTTTGCAGTCATTTGAGTTTCATATCACTAAGATCAATTTTCGTTCAATAATTATACAGAAAAAGTCTCTATCGGCACAAATTGTGAACAATAGTAATGTGAAAATGTAGATAACATAACAATGGTCTATCTTCAAGGAGCAGGTCTATCTCGGATGGATATTTCGATATATTACAAACGTTCAAACATCTCATACTAAGAATCTTTTTTTTAAATTTATTTAATACCTTAGCTACAAGACGTTTGCTTCAAACGCTTTAAAAAGAATTTTTTTACTTAATTTCCGTCTCCTGTTTTTATTGCAAAATCTCTCGTCTACAAAGGTTTCATAACTGAAAGCATCTTAACGCAACTGTGTCATGAAATTAAAAAAAAATGTGCAATTTTCTAAGGGGACAATAAATTCTGAAAGATTTTATTTATTTTTATATTTTTTTGGATGTTTATGTAGCCTCAGAACATATTTTTCCTTGTTGTTGTTTGAATAAAATGAATGGCAACTCTTAGGGTTATGCACAAATTATAAATAAGATACAATTTACTTCCGAGCCCTTACCATTTACTAAAACAACAAAAATAATACCTAAACAAGAATAACAAAAACAAACAGCAGCGTTCAGGCAGAAGATGAACAATTTAACATTTATTGTTGGTCTCTACACATATAAACACATAGATTTATATGCAGCTGTATTAGTGTATATAACGACAGCAATGTAGAACGATATGTATATAGATACGAAGGAAAAGATATGTCAAGGAAAATTATGTGTTCTGGCAATGAAAACATTACTTATGCATACATATATATAATCATATGTAAGGTTGCACTCATACATACTTACGCGCACATATACATATGCAAACATTAATTATATATATATATATATATATATATATATATATATATACATATATACATATATATATATAGATGTATGCAATTATATAGTATACACATTTCTATGTGTTTGTATGCATGAGTTCATATGGCTTAAAGAAAAAAACGAGAAAATTTAAATCCCTTTTATATTTTCTGCATTCTTTAAGTAAACGTACGTAGGTATATATGTGTATATACATATGTAGTGAATTATAAAGGGAATTATATAAATCTAAAACCACTCCTAAACAGTATAAATGTAAACTAACTTGTATGTGACATGTATATGCGGCATTTACACACAAGTATTATAAAAATGAACATACAGTACATAATAAGCACCTACCTTTCATTTAGAGTGCTTAGGCATACGCACTCACATACACACGTGCATGCCTATTTAATATGCGGCGATATTATATATATATATATATATTATATATATATATATTATGTATATATAGCATATATATTTATATATATATATATATATATATATATATATATATATATATATGTATGTATAAATTGTTGGTGTTTAATATATATTTCATTTATTTATTTTTTTTTTTATGCTACATTATTTATTTAACAACCACATCCATGTAAATGTATGTATATTGATTTAAAAAAACCTCAATTTTATGTCTCGTCTCGTTTCACACACAACGCGAAAATGTAATTTTTCAATTAATTTTAATTATAAACTTAATTAGGAAACAAAAAAAAGAAAACAAAACACACGCACACACAAACACTTGTGCAGAAGAAAACGCATACATCTATGCTAACGCTTGTAGTGCACTAACACAATAATAACATTTCAACACACACCAAATCGTATACAATTATTATTATATTATTGGGGAAAAGCGGGCGCACTCTTGCCATCTCTTGCTCACCCATTCTTATGAGTAAGCGCAGAACACAGAAAATGAGCAAGACAGGTCATTAGATAAACACAATACTCACTCAGTTTCATTTAAAGTAAAAGGAAAAAATTATACAAAAAAAATGTTTTTAATTAAACCCCATAAATAATTGACATTTCTTTTTTTCTTTTCTGTTATATTGTTAAAGCATTTCTGTATACATACATATATATATATATATATATATATATATATATATAACAATATATGTATACATGTATAAATATATATATGTATATATGTATGGGGTTTAATAAAGACCATTATTTATGTATAATTTT